AAAAAAAAAAAAAAAAAAAGAAAATACAAATTAAAAACTAGAAAAAAAAGAAAAAATGTAAATGTTAATTCTATTCAATAATATGTATTTAACTTAATCAATAAATCATCTTGTATTCGTAACATAACTATTCTAATATACAAATTGAGTACATCTTACATCTCTGTTTTTCAGTCATTAATAATATATATCGTTTTACAAAATTATTTTTATTTGAATTAATAAATCGCACAAATGATCTAATTAAAATAAACAAAGTTTATATTAGAACAACGTTAGAAAATAACTAATAAAATTAGAAAGAAAATCCTATTTATTTCCATATTATTATAAATCCATTATTTTATAAATGTTAGTAACAACATATCGGACAAATATATGTAATAATAAAGATGCATAACATTATTATCAGACTTTATATTAATATATATTTATTATAATAAAATAAGGCAATTAAAAAAGTAATCAGTTTCAAATAGTATGGAGTCAATGCAATTTAATTTCAATTTATATCTTTAATGTGTAATGTAACACAATTCTATGATATTATCATAGATTTTTGATATAAAGTACATAGATATGATTACATGTAACGTAAGCATTTCTAATAAATATATTTCTAATATAAATGTTAGTAAATATCGTACAAAACTTAAGGACGATATTGTTTCCAATATACATACATAGACATTAAACTAATTACATATACTTGTTTCGTTATTGTATACAATACAATTTTTATAATGTTATATTTTAGAAATTAAGTATTTGAAAAATGATTTTATAGAACAAATATACTATAGAATAAAAACATTATTTGATACTTTTTAGCTACAAGAATAATTCAGGAAAAATTTCAAATATTTTTTATACAAAAAGTTCGATGTACATGCTACATATTAATCATAAGAGTTACAATTACACTTACCGATAAGATATTTTTAAAAATGTGTGATTTTATCAATTTAAATATTATTAATCACGCATGGATTTATCTTCGGTAAAAATCAAATTTTCTTCATCACCAAATATTGATCCATCGTCCGATAATTCGTTTGTATTAATTATTAATTCTTCTTTTCTTTTATCTCGAACTTTTTTATGTGATCGTTTAATAGAAGTTTCCCCTAATAATTTGATATAACTTTTTGTCTTTAAACAATTTGGTGGTGTTACAGTTGCATTTTTCGAATTATTATTTGCAGAACTCTGATTATCATCAACAAGATTTGTCGAATCTTTTATTTCTGTATTATTATTACTAATCGGTTTTTCATGTATTGATTTATTTATTACATCATCTACAGTAACAAAATCATTCGAAAAATCTGATAGATTATCTGTTTCATTTATAATATTTTCCATAGACGTTTCATGTCTTTCATTTACATAATGGTCATTTCTGATTAAAGTGAAATCTTTTCTTGAAATATTTCCACGTTTATTTTTTTTATGAGATTTTTTAATGGAATCTAAATTAGGATATAATTCTGTAGTTGACATATTTCTTGGAGTCAATCTGCCTGTTACATCATTATCTGAATCATATATTTCTTTCGTATTTTCATTGTTAATATTATTATCGAGTTTTACTGTTGTAACATTATTTTCTTTTATTTTTGCGCAAAAATTTGAAAAGTTTGGTACTGGCGTTAAACATCGCGAAAAACTAATATTACCATCTTCTGAATATTCATTTTTTTCAGGTGATAAATCATAAAAACATAAATATTCTTTACAAGCAATTGAAGCAATTGATGATCTTTTCCTTTTAAGAGGAGTGAAAATTTTAAATTCTTCTTTAGATATATCCAATTCTTGTAATTCGGAATCATACGACATATTCATTTCACAATTCAACGATAGATCTTGTGACTTCTGTTTTTTATTTGGAGATAATTTATCCAATGATATATTTGAATTCTCAGATGAGATTAAAGAAGTAGAATCTCCGATATTTGTGATAACATCCAAATTTGAAGAAAAATCTTCCATTCTATATTTACATTCGGATGTATCATCAACATTAAATGTTTTATATTTGTTAATATCTAAATCCATATCATTATTAAAATATTCTTGTCGTTTTAAAAATCCAGATAATATTTTATTATGTTTATCCTTTTTATGAGATTTTTTAACAGAATTAAATTGTGACAATAAAAGTCTACTAGAGTTCACTTTTTCAGGAGTAGATGATCGCTCTTCTTTTGTATTATGATAATTTGTTTCAATGGATATTATATTTTTTTCAGTATTTTCAAAATTTTTCCAACATTTTATATTTTCTTGTTCTTCCGTTGTTTCGAGTTTATTTTGTAAAACTTTCGGACTGAACAATTTTCTTTTATTATCATCCTTAATTTTTTTATGAGATTTTTTTATAGAATCTTTAACAATATTTTGTAAAATATTTATAGAATTCTCAGGAGTAACCGATGTTTGCGATTCTAATACAATTTCTTTTACTGATTCTGGAGTTACTGATCTACTATCATTTGTTACATTGATATTTTGATTAGATAAATTATTTGCATCAATATTGTTAAAATTTTGAAATAATTCATTTTCATTTTCAAGTTTTGAAAGACATTTCATATTTTTTTCTAATTTTACTTCAAAATTATCTGTTTTAGATATGACATTACTGTAATTTAATGTCCAATCTGATATTTTAGATTCTTTTAAAACATTATTCTGTTTTTCTTCGGTATAGTCAAAAAGTGAACCAGTGTCTGACATATCACCTTCAGAATGACTTAATATTAATTCATTAATATTTTCATTAATAGATTGATTTATATCTGATTTAGAATCTTGTAATGCATCAATATATTTTCCATGTTGAGTTAGTAGAAGATTATTTTTATCCTGAAGTATAGTTTCATCATTTACAAAATTATTTGTATATTGTGATGTGCAACGTTCATTTCGTCTTGATGATCTTTCCTATACATAACATTATAGTATAAAAATTAATAATCATCAAATTAATGTAGATAACAATATTTAATCTCTATTTAATCTCTAAATGATATCTTCTCTTTTCTCTCAAATTTTCTATTTTATTTTAAAAACTCAAAATTTTTATAAAATTGATTTAATTTCTTTAGTAATAAAAGCAATGAAAAATTTTACTTGGAAAAACTAACATAGGAAATTATTTTATTTAAAAAAAAAAATATAAAAAATATTAATTAAAATAAAAGTTAAGATTAAATTTTGCTTACCTTCTTATGACTTCTTTTAATTGCACTCATGCTTTCTGGAATTATACAGACTAAATTTTTAGGTGTACATGATCTACTTTCATCATTATCATGAAATTCATGAAATAAGTTTCTTGAAGTATTCATGGGAATATTATTTGTATATTTTGATCTACCTTTGATACGTTTTAATGATTGTGAATTAGGTGTTGCATTAACATAAACAATATTATCAATAGTTTCTTTTAATTGATTGCGTAATAATGGTGTAAAACTTGCTGAACATAATGATTTTTTAGTTGACTTTGTATTAGGTGTAGAATAATGTAGAATTTCATGTTCTTTTGTACTTGATTGTGAGGGTGTTTCATTTTGATTTTCATCAATAGAATCAGAAGATGAAAATAATAAACTACTATTTGTAGAAATATTAGGATTATCATCAAGATTTAAGAATTTTCTAGAAGCAGATAAAGGAGAATTAAAGTTAAGGCTCACAGATTTTCGTATACCTTTTTTTATGCACCGAAAACTTTTTGGACTTGGAGTTAAATTGAAATTCAATGATTTTCTAATTTTTGTTTTTCCATAATAAGAAGGACTGCTATTGAAATTTAAAGCTCTCATTATCTTAGCAGATCTAGATAAATGTTTATCTTCTTCAAAAGAACTGCTTTCTGAACTGGAATTACAAGTACTTCCATCAAAATTCAAAGATCTGCTTATTCTATATTTAATAAAATGTTTACTTTTATGTGGAACTGATCTACTACATGTTACATATCTCTGTTTATATGAAATTTTTTTATCTTTTGGAGGACTCCATGCAATGTAACATTTTTGACTTAGTTCACCATTATGAATAACATAATCTTCTTTATTTTTATCAATATTCATTTTTGTAGTAGTTGTACAATCATCAAACATAGTTTTATTCAATATGTTTTAAACATAAAGATTATTATGTAAATATATATGAAAAATATTTTTTTCATTCACAACCCCATATGATTGTAAATTTTTATTTTTATATATATGTAAATAAATTGTAATAATTACTAAAAAAATATTATAATATTAAATCAATATTCAAATTATATCATAGCTTTACTATAATGAACGACTTACTTAATTTTTTTTCAAATTATATATAATTTCCATTCTATTTCACTGTAAACAAAACAAAAAATTAAATATTAAAATGATATAAAATAAATCTATTTCATAAAGTATTAAAAGACATACATTTTTATATGTTTTTTGCATCTCTTATAATTTATCCATAATTTAATATTCAAAATCTTGATTTCTCATATTTAATAAAAATAAATTTCATTAAATTCACGAAATTTTTATATATTAAAATATATTATAAAATTTTTAGAAATGTGTTTTTAAAATAGTTAATATATAATACTTATGTAGTATATTTGCACATATTTGCATTATTATCCTAGATATTTTATACGTATGTGATGTGTATGTAATTCGCGTTCCTACAAGACAATACATACGATATAATGCATGCATGCAAATGCACATTAGATATAATTTTGATTTATAATATAAACATATATATAATTAACTGTATATTATACTTACGAAATAAATAAAAAAAATATAATATAATACTTACAATTTAAGTAATGTTTGCCCAAAATAATATAAATTGGCTATCTTCATATGGAAAATTCAACTATAAAGTACAGATCAATTCTTCCTTTATTATATTCTTTTTTTCCTCTTTAATATCAAATTATACTATATACTCAAATCCAAAATTTTATTTATTTGATTATACATATATATATAAAAGACGATTTTAATTATTAGGCACTCAATTTAATACAAAACCTAGTATGGCTTCGCATGACTTCTTTAAGCATTTTGATATGTCGATATAGTGTACAGAATAGATGGCGTTGTATATTTCTTCTTAAATATTGTTTCCTCAAATATTAAATTTTTTTACACAGAAATTTATTTTATATTGTAATTTTTTTAATTACATATTAATAATAGTATTGATAATGAAAAAAAAATTATAAAATTTTTAATATATAAAAGAGATTTTTATCGTAGTAAACTTTGCAAATTAAAAAATATATGCATACTATTGCATACATAATTATAATTATATACAAACATAAGTGAATTTATTTATAGTTTTATTATTTTTTTTATATTTTTTCTTTTCCACAAAATTCTAAATTAAACAAATTTTAATAAAATATCCATAAAAATAAAATATATTTAATTTTGTTATCACTCTATTGATTTCTCTTTCATATATATATATAATTAAATATATAATAAAATATGTAATAAATATATTATATTTTT